CGAGTGCACGCACCCTATAGTGAAAACCTCTCCAAAAAAAAGAAAAAAAAAAAAGAGCCATTTATATGCTTTATTTGTTGTTATTTAATTTGACCAGAAAGAGAGAAAGAAAGGGAAAGTGAGAAAGCAAGCCACTAGGTCCAGGACTCAAGCTGTGGTTGGCCATGGTGGAGTTCAGCACCTTAACCACCCCTTCACCTGCTGGCCCTGGACTAAGTAGCTCTCATGCTGGTGTATTTGTTAGGCTTCTTGCTGCATGTGTGACCACAAAAATCACAGTGAAATTGGGATCTTATCCCTAAATCCCTAGTGCCTGTTTTAACTATTTCTTGACATTCTTACAGAAAATATCCAGCATGTGCCTTCCAGCCACAAAAATGAATCTTCCAAAAGCACTGTGAAGCCATCAACTTCAGTTTCCTCAGGCTCAAACAATGTGACAAACAGCACTGCACCACCTGTGACAACATCTAAAATGGCAACACCTGATGTCTCAACAAATGTGACTTCTACCTTAAAGTCTGTAACCAAAACCAGTGTTTCACAGAACACAACCCAAATGTCTACATCTACAGTGACCCCTGCCCACAATAGTTCAGTGACATCTGTTTCTTCATCAGTAACAGGTATGTATTAAATTCGACTTATTTTTCCCATGCTGCAAGTAGTTAAATGTCACATTCCATTCTGCAGAAACAAAGACAGAAACTTTATTTCTGTGCCCGGAATTCCTCTTGCCCCCAGTGTTCTTACACAGGCACACAGGACGTTTTAGTTAATTATAATGTTTTTTAAAACACTAAAGTTTGTTTTGTTTTCTTCTAGTCTCAACAACTATTCATTATAAAGAAAATAAAGAATCGAAATTTGATACTGGCAGCTTTGTTGGTGGTATTGTATTAACACTGGGAGTTTTATCCATTCTTTACATTGGATGCAAAATGTATTACTCAAGACGAGGCATTCGATACAGAACCATGTAAGTTTTGTTTGACCACATCTGTGTATATTTAATTATGACAGAATAATTAGGCTTAGGCCAGCATTCATCCCAGGGATGAAAATTCATGGATTTATGAGTTATGTTTTCATCACCACCTCTACCAAAGTAAATTGTTTATAATAAGCTTGTGATTATCTTTGCAGATGAACATGGCTGTGCTAAGTACTTATAAAAACATTTGTATTTTGCTAGTATCAGACATTTTTTACCAGAAGCCAAAGTTCAGCCAACCGTTTTTACTGGGTTATAATACTGATCAACAAAAATACATGTCTGATCTCACCAGGCTATTGTATCTGGTGTCTGTTGGTGGTATTAAATAGCATCCATAGTAAAAACTTGGCTTTTACTTTTCAAGATGACAGAGGCATGAGACCAGCAGGTGGTGTAGTAGTTAAGGTGCCAGACTCCCACATGGCTGACTGTGGTTCTAGTCCTGGACCTGGTGGCTTGAAAATGACACCAGGCACATGTGTGCATGTGCCCAAGATCTCTGGAAGAGAATGAAGTAGAAGAGATTGTGGTGTAGCCAGACTACCAAGGGGATGATTTCTCGTTCTTCTCTCTCTTTTTCTCTCTCTCTTTCTATCTCCAGTGAGCACACATGCCCTGTGGCAAAACCGTAAAGAAGGAAAAAAAAAAAAGAGAGAGAGAGAAAGACAAACTAAAGAAATTCCTCTAACAGCCTCATTTTCCCTGATAATTTAAACAAGTGGTTAATATAAATAATGAACTTTATCATTTTCTGTGCAGGAAAGCAATCTTTTTAGATGAGCTCTATCAACCTGCCTCTATAGACAAACTATGCTTACCCTATACACAGCTCTTACAGGTCTTATGGTTTGGGAAGTGTATCATCCCCCAGTTTTTGTTGCTCCAAAATTTTTTTTTGTTTTTTGTATTTTGAGTCTTTTATGTTATCTTATCAGTTTGAACTAGCAGAAAAATTACCATAGGCTATGTACCTTAAACAATAAAAAAAAATTATTTTTTTATGGTTCTGAAGGCTGGAAGTTTGAAAGTAGGGCGAGGGCCTTCTTCAAGGTTGCATACTGCCGACTTTCTGTTGTATCCTAACATGGAAAGAGGGCTAGCTGTTTCTCTGGCCTTTTTTTTTTCTTTCTTTTTCTTTTTTTAAGTTTTTTTTTTCTGTTGTGTTCGTACACCCACCGGAGACGGAGACAGAGAGAGGGAAAGCATGAGAGCATCTCCAGGGAGGATGACCATGCTACACTTCTCTTCTGTTCTCCTGGGACTTGAGGCACGCACACACACATGCCAGGCGTGGCTTTCAAGCCATCTGGTCTAAAACTTGACCAGATCACCATGTGGAATCCAAGACCTTTAAAGCCACCAGGCCATCTGCTGGCCCTCTGGCCTCTTTTTATAAGGACATTAATCCCTTTCATAAGGTTCTACCCTCATATAGTGATCTCCCAAAGTCAACACCTCCAAATACTATCACAGTGGGATTAGGGTTTCTTTTATCCTCTCCCTCCCTCAAAGTTTCTGCCATAGGGCTCGTGCACTCACTGGAGAGAGGGAGGTAAAGTGAGAAATCATCCCCCAGGGGGATAGCCATACCACAGTCCCTTCTCCTCCATGCTCCTCTGAGGATTTTGAGTATACCCACACATGCATCTAGCAAGATTTTCAAACCATCAGGTCCAGGACTTAAAGTGCAGCTGACCATGTGGGAATCCAGCGCCTTAACCACACCACTTGCTGGCCCTGGGATCAGAGTTTTAAAGATAAATTTTAGGAGAACACAACACTGTTCATTGCATGGGTACAACAGTGAGTTCACTGTTAAGAGTAGATGACTGTATGAAATTTGCTCTGTGGGTTAACTCTTTGTCATACACATATGGGTCCCACAGAGTTCTTGTATGTTTAAATGTCTGGGAAATGCTCCATTGAAACAAGTAAAACATAGCAAGGTTTACCCCAAGATTTCTTGAAGCCTTTAATATACTGGTATGCATTATGAATTTCTAGGAGGGAATGTAATAACTACTTAATATTTTCTTTTAATTATTTGTTGGAAAAAAAGTCTCCTTTTAAAGGGGAGTAAATACTACTTACCTCTTGGAATTAGTATTGTATGGATCATCTTTTGGTAATTTGATTATCTTTTAGAATAGGTCTTGGAGGGCTTTTTAAAAAATGGTTAATTTTATTATTATGATTATTTTTTAATTTGCCATGGGGCACATGTGCTCACCAGAGAGAGACAGAGACAGAGAGAGAGAGATGGGGAGAATGGGAAAACAAGCCACTGGTCTGGGACTCAAACCACAGCTGCCATAAGGGAGTCTAGCACTTCAACCACCTTGCTCTTGGAGGACTTTTTTGACACTAGTTGTGATTCAGTATGTATAAGGCAAATCAGACTTCTTGGTACATTAAAGAAGTGTTGCTAACAGGTCCTAAAGTTAAGAATACAGAAAGGTTCCAGAATTTTCAACTCACTGATAAAAGCTTCAAAATGAACATGACTTCATAAATGAAAATGAGATCTCGAGAAATGGCTATATGACTTTTCACGAGTTAGCTATTATAACCCTCTTTAAAAAGAAAGCAGCGTAACATTTCTTGGCGTTTGCCACTAAGAGCAAAAATGTAGTACAGGTTTGTTTCACACCTTTAACCAGTTTTGGAATCCTTCACTACACTGTATTGGATATTTTCACTCAAGAAACTTTGTGCAGAGTAATGACAGCTGATTTTGATTATGAAGCTTAAAACTGTTCTAAAGTAATTGTTAATTTTTGGTATATTACAGAGATGAACATGATGCTATCATTTAAGGAAATCCAGAGACCCAAGGAAAGAAGATTGATGCAACCCTATAACTAATTTTGGTTTATTCTCTTGAAAACTGTATAAACAGGCCATGCACATAATGTACAATGTGTTACATAAATATGTAAAGATTCTTCCTGATTACTAAAGGTAAAAAGGGCTTGGTTTGGGTTTCTTAATGAATATTTGGAGTTTACAAATAGTTAATACAGTGATTTTTTTTTCCCACTTTTAGCAAATATATAGTAAGACAAGCCCCTTTTTTTTGTGGCATTGATCACTTGGGACCAGTAGTTGGAAGGCACCATCACCCAAGGACAGGATGCCATCTGGGCATACCAGTAAGGAGCACTGAGGATACTGAGTGTCTTTGTTGTTCACACAAAGAACATCAGTGTCTTCAGAGCTGGATCTGTCCTAATCACTAATGCCACACAACAGAAATTGATTCAGTCTGGTCTGAGGTATAATTTAAGAAATCATCAACCTTTTCTAGGCTTTAAAGTGTAGTAGTTGGTCTGGAAACAAAAGTACACGCACGTGCACACACAGACACACACACACACACCCCTTCAAATAAGACCACAAGCAATACTTGGGCTCAGATCTGTTACACATCCAAGGGAGCTTTGGAAAGCATGTGTTTGTATGAATAACTTCTTTTGAGCTTTCTATGTCAGTTGGTAAGATTTACTTTTTTTCTCTGTGTAATTTAGGTATACTGCAAAGATTAACATAATGTTTTAAAGACTTAGTTGTTAGAATTAAAAAGGAAAGTACTCCAAGGAGTTAGATTATTTTCTACTGTGAGAATGTTGTCATCACTGGAAATTACTTTTATTTCATAGTCACTTGTTAATTTTAATTTTATATCTAGTGAATATTTTAAAAGAAATGTAGAGCTGCTTTCAGTATTTCGACATTTTTAATGGAGTGCAAACACATCTAGCTTAAAATAAAAACCCCCTTCTAGGATTTCCAAAACATTTAGAACACGATAGAATCAAAATCATAGATTGGTGCTGTGTTCATCAAGCCAAGGATGGTGGGTCTTCACCCGGGCTCCCACCAACTGCAGGACAAAAACGCTACATTTTCAGACACACTCAATTTACTCAGAGATTTGAGGAAATAGCATTTTTATACTAAAACACAAGTTTATTTTGAAATAAATTCTTATAAAGTTTTAAGTACATTTTTAAAGACAGGAATTTTCCTGCTTCCTTATTTGGGTATTCTCCAGACCACTCTTTTTACCCCATTGCTCAGGGGGAGGTACTTTCAGATGTGTTATGTTGATGGAGAGTAACCACACAGTATTGTAGAAGCACCAATATTAGCTATATTTTGGAGTGTTTTCAGTTTGACAGTTGATATTCTTGCACTCAAAACTCAGGGTCAGGTTTTAACAAAAAGTATTTAGTCAGACTCAATAGTAAGATAATATTTCTGTTTGAGGGTCAAAGTAAATCACACTAATTTCTGAAAGTCCAAAAGTAAGCTAAGATAGCCTACAATTAATAGGAATAAAATATAACTTTTGCGATCAGCTTCTGATTTGCAGAGAATGCCAGATATCAAGGATATTGATATAAAAGATCATTTCTACTTGCTGTTCATTATGGCCAGTTGAGTTGATGAAGATGGATGATAAAGATCCTTCAAAATAAGGACATTAGATGTATATAACACATGGAGGGAATTTTGTTACTTAGATGTACATTTAGATTTGTTTGAAAAGAAATGTGGGCCGATGGGTGAGGTGTATGTTACTAATTCGACTCTAACTGGTCTTGCAATCACTGCTTTCACTCTTTTGCAAAATATAGTTAAGATATAGTTTATAGTTAATGAGGGCCTTAGAAATTTAAATTGTTCTGTCTCCTGCATTCTTGGTATTACAGTACTTCAATTCAGTCAGAACTTTGTGGACTGGACTAAAGTTTTTCATGAATACTTGTGTCTTTAGCACTTTGAAGATAGAAAAACACTTTTTAAGTACTAAATTTCACTATTTGTTTAGAAAGTTTCCTCTGCTTTGGGTTTGGGATACTATAGTTACGTCTTTTCTCTGTAAGTAGTATAATTTGTTATTTTCAAATAACAACACTTCCAGTAAAGTTTTTGTTGCTGTCTGCAAGGATTGAGGGAAACAGTGAGCTAAAACAATTTTTACTTTGGAATGTTTCCTAAACATAAATTTATCTTCCTAATTATGTTTACTTAGGCAGATACCCAAATTTGTTTGCATTCCTTGAGAATGTATTTACTTAAAGATGAAAACAATCCAGATGTATGTCAAAATATTAGGCAGAGACCAGTCTATAATTCTGAAATCATGGCTAATCCATAAAAGGAATAACTGAAATACAGATAAATGAAAGCAATATATGGGTGATAATTTTTTATGTTCAGGAAAGAAATTAAAGCAAACTCCTGTTACCTTTTTTCTCCTTTTTATTATAATGACCACCTTTTGGTATATCATTGTTACTGAGATCTATTTTTAGAATAAAATCTGTTCTTCGTATGAGAAAAGTATGTGGTTTTACCTCATTTTGTTAAACTCGAGACAAATCAACAGATTAGAAAAACTCAAAGCAAATTGCAGGTGCTAACCTGACACCTTAAAGCTGTGTTATCCCTAACTGTGGTTGCATGAACAAGCTACAGTAGTAGCATTACCTGGAGCTAGTTAGAACTGAAAATTCTTGGGTCCCGACCCTGATCTGTAGAATCCAACTTGGGAATAGCCCAGTCATCTGTCATTCAGTGAGCCCACCAGGTGATTCAGATGTTCATCAGTCTGAGACCGCTGCCCAGGGATTTTCACTTGAAGTGTTGCTTTATGGTCTGCCGAGCAGAATGTTTAAAATAGGTACATTCATAGTGGAACAAAAATTCCCTATTCCCTGGGTAAACCAGCTACAAATGCATTGTGCATACTATGAGTTTTTCTTCTTTATAAATAGATATAACTTATCTGATAATTAACTTAAAATTTTTTTGTTATTATAGGGTGTCTAAGTCTGTTCTATTGCTAATAACAGAAAATACCTGAGTCTGGGTAATTTAAGAGAGGATAGAGGTTTATTCAGCTCATGACCTGAAGTCCAAGGTCCATGGATTTTATCTGGTAAGGGCCTTACTGGCCTGGAGGTGGGGGTGAGGGGAGGGAGTCCCAAGATACCACAGTATGTCAGAGGGCAAGAACCTGAAAATGTATGTTGGTCTCATTCCCTCTTCTTAGAAACAAACCAGGACTCAACCATGAGGGCCACTCTAATCCCTGCTCTTTATATTCCCTCTTTAGTGACAGACAGAAACCGAACTTCACTGGTGGGGGATCTTGAGTCTCAGTTGTAACATCTGGACTTAATGGACATGTATAAGCACAGGAGGATGGAAACCAAAGGCAAGAGAACAGATTGAATAGAGAAATTTTTACCTACCCTTCCAATTTAAAGAGATTTAAAAATAGACAGTGTTAAATATTAGACCCCCTTTTCCACCTGGCCTCAGAAGTATGCCATAGAGCCAGATCTGGGAAAGGTCAAATGGAATTAGCACCCAGAGGAGGAGGTCCTGACCACTGTCTGTATTCTGTCCACCCTCATTCTTTCAGCACCCACACAAAACAGTAACACTACTTTTTAAGTCCTAATGCTGGGGGCTGGCAGGGCGTGGTGATTAAGGCACTGGACTCTCCCACATGGCCAACTGCGGTTCAAGTCCCAGACCTGGCAGCTTGCTATCTCTCTCTGTATGTTTCTCTCTGGTCAAACTTAAAATAATAATAATAATAATTTTGGGGGGGATCGGCATGTGGCATGGTGGTTAAGGCGCTGGGCATTCCCACATGGCTGACCATGGTTCAAGTCCCGGACCTGGTGGCTTGCTTTCTCACTTTCCTCTCTCTCTCTCTGGTCAAATTAAAATAAATGAATGAATAAATAAATGAAATTGAATAAAATAATTTTTTAAAAATAATAATTTTTTAAAAACCCTAATACTAATTTACCCTACTTTATTAATAGTTTTTTTAGATGCCAGAGGGAGTATGCTCTTATAAGGCGTGGGGTGGGAGGGTGAATCCTCCAGTGGGGCATGGCATATCACAATCCTTTCTCCTTCATTTTTTCCAACCTGTCAGGATTTTGGACATGCAAGCACATATGCCTGGCATGTCTTCTAAGCCACCAAGGCCAGGACTCAATTCACAGCTTGCCATGTGAAATCCAGCTCCCAATGCACAGCACTTAACCACTGCCACCGGGGTGGCCCTAATAATTTTTTTGATACTCATTCAGTTTTCATCCAACAATTTTATAATATACAAAACAACTAGAGGTTACCTAAAGAAATGCTCACTTCAATCACATTATTTAAAACGCGTTTTAATGCATTTCATGAATTATTGCGTTGTCAGAAAGTCATGATGTGTTTTTGCATAGAAATAGAAAAATACATTGTGACTTTACCTAATGGCTGGCATTTGAGTCCAGTGAAAATTACCTTTTAAGTCAGGACAGAAGTCCCAGTCTGGTGCACAGATAGTGCCACTGCTTTGGAGGTTGGAAGCTGAGAAGTCTAGGTTTGGTTGCTGGGCCTACCTGGACATGCCAAGCAAAGCACAGCTGTGCATTTCCGTATTCCTAGCTAAAAGGAAGCTGGGGCAGGAGGATTTGTAACACAGGGAGACTCCGTCAAAAATGCTTATCTGTCTCATTCCCTCAGCCCTCTTTGCCTCTCTCTCATAAAGGAAAAATAAAAAGCACAGGGATCAAAACATTTTGAAGACTAAATCCTTTTAATAAAAGCACTTTATTAAGATGTTTATCACTAAATACAGGAAAGCTTGTTTACCAGGAAGATCAAAATCCTTATTTTACAACATAAGAGAAAAGCACCTAGGAGAGTTTGGCACAACTCTGATGAACTTCAGAATTCCTGGTTTCCAGTCATTTTAAGCTAGAAAGAACACTAAATCCCTAACTCCTGAAATGGTACACAAGCACTGACACTATTCCTTTAATTCTTCTGATATCCATACTTATATACCAATATAGTTCATCAAACACATAACTCCCCTTGCAAAAAAAACAAGATTAAATATGATAAACAATACTCTTTTGAAACAAGATTATTAGTATCAAAGCAGAGTAAAATACAAATATTACTAATTAGAGTGTCACTCATTCCTTTTTTTTTTTAACCTCAGATGTCTTCAAATGTTCCACAGTATTTTAAAGACTTTTCTATGCAGGCTAATACATAGCCTTCATTTCTTTTATGAGAGAAATGTACGAACAGTACCCTTGATTATACCCCTACAAATAGGGCATTTTCTTAGAGAAGGGGCACATTCCTGGCACACTACCAGATGACCACAGGGAATGAATACAATAGAAACTTCTTTGTCCATACACACTTTACAAGTTCGTTCTTCTTGTAACCTCCTCAATTGTTCTTCCAGTGACAGACCTGATAGCAAAAAATAATAATTTTGGTGAAATTCAGCCTCCACTTAACCTCCTATTTAAAAAAGTACTATTTCACATTGATTTTAAGTCTTAATTTTCTTTTACCTGAAACATCTTCTGTTGGAATATACTTCATATTTTTTTCCACTGAGAAAACAAAACAAAAAGCATCAATCTACTAATTAGAAAACTGATTCAACTACTACCGATTTTTTTTAATCTAACACCTATTAAGTAGTGTAGATTCTAGCTATATATTACCAGGAATTGTTATGCTAGGCACCTGTTACACTAGGGCAATAAAAGAGTTCACTTTTTGGAACAAGCGAAATACAAAGATACTAGTTTGCTAGCTAGATTTATTCTGTTTGTCAAACAAAGATGAACATAATCCTTCTAAAATAATTTACCCAAGACACTCACCAAATAAATTTTTATATAATGTAGAATCAATTTCTTTTAGACAGCTTTTGAAGATGTTGGCTGCAGCATTTCCTTTAACTAAAACCGTATCGATCAGTTCTCTTGCTTGTAAAGGTATCTGTGTTTTTTGTTTAATAATATCATGTTCCTGTTTATTAATTACGTTGGCCTTTAAAAGATTATCCAGGATAGGAAGCACACACGTCAGCTGTTGAAAGAGAGCCATTCTGTTCTTCCGAATTAATGACAAATCATCTTCATTTTTTAAAAAGGGAAAAAAAAACCCATTAGATTTTAAAACTCCACCAACTGCAGTCATTAACATGTAGTCACTAACAACAAACCCTAGAAAGAATACAGACACTAAATAGAGGTCTAAAAAGAAAAAAGACTTCTCTGTGCTTTAATGTCTATCACCTAGAAAATTTCCAGATCTAGCTAAGAAATAGGGTTTATGGCATTTTAATGAGTTTATATACTGACATGTTCTAGAACCCTGCTTTTTCCTTCATTTTTGTTCAAAGTAAAATTTTAGAGGACAGAAGAATTTCAACCTCTATAACTAGCCCCCTCCATGGAATTAATACCGACTTCTCTTTGCATTGTATCACTTTAATTTCATAAGTACTTTCATATAAACTGTCTCATTTGTTACAAGGATCCTATTAATTAAACAAGTCAAGTATTACTACTACTTACTTTAAGACAGTGAGAAAAACAGAGTGATAGCCTGTCCAAGGTCACAGAGAGATTAAGTTACAGAACTAGGCCTAGATCAGTGTTCTTTTCAATACCCGATACCTAAGCAGCAGTGCTAAGACATACACAGTGTAGCAAAACTTAATGACTGTTTCAGTTCATTCCTCCCAGAGTTGTGAGAATTAAATAAGGGAATACATACAAAATACATGCCTAGGCTTATACCAAATTCTTAATCAGAGGGTGCATGAGCTGGTCAGAATGAGAGAGACCATCCTCCAATGGGGTGTAGTCATGCCACTATCCTGTCTCCTCTTTTTTTTCCATCATGTGAGGACTTACACACATGCTCAGTGTGTTTTTCAAGCCTCCAGGGCTGGGACTTGAACTTCAGTGAGACATGTGAGAGCTGGCTCCGTTAACCAGCCAGTTAAAATTTATTTCTTCCATGAGAGAGGGGCAGGCATACCCCTAGAGGGTCTTACCAGGCCACGATACTTTGCTCAGCCTTCCAGCCAGCCAGAAGCACAGGTGGGTGCAAACACTCCCAGCATGTTCAGGTCAACTGGAGAATCAAACCTGGACCTCTCAACATGGCTCCTGCATCACACAGCAGCACCCCACTGCCTGTGCCATCACAGCTAGGCCATATAAGTTTTTAAATTTTTTTCCAGAGAGTATATGCACTTGCCAGAGAGAAGCAGGGAAAGCAAGAAAGCACCTGTCATGGGGCATGGTCATGCTGCAAGCCCTTCACCTCTCTCTTTTCATACATCCAGTGTGATTTTCTTGAGAGTTGTTTTTTTTTTTTTTTTTTTTTTGCTATAGGGTGCATGTGCTCACCAAAGAGACAGAAAGTGAGAAAAAACCCCAGGGGGTGTGGCCACACAGTGATCCCTTCTCCTCTTGGGATCTTGGGCACGCACACACACATGCCCAGAGTAAGTTTTAAGCTACTGGGCCCAGGACTTGAACCACGATCCACTATGTGAGAGTCCAGCGACGTAACCATTACACCATCTGCTGGTCCCTCCAGTGTGTTTTTCAAGCCACTGGGTTCAGGACTTGAGCCATGTCTGCTCTAGCTGCCTTAACCACTGGCTGGCCTTTTGGGGAAACAACGTATAAATCAAGCCTGATCGTTTAAAAGGTATACCTTTCCTTTAATCTCAGATCACATAAAACTGCAGTTAATTTACATTTATGGAATATGGCTTTTCTTTCTTTTGATGTCCCAATCAATCACTGTAAAATTAAATTGCCTGTTTAGACTCCTCCCCCTGCAAATTTTAAGTATGTCTCTATAAGGCAGAAATTAATAAGAAATAAATTATAAAAAGAGAAGTCTCTTTTCCTTTCCCTTTTATATCTTTTTAGAAGTGAACTGCCCTTTTCATCTCTAAACTATGAATTACTACCTTCTCTGACCACAACTGATCATTCCATCTTAAAAATTAATGTAACGGGGCCAGCAGGTGGTGTGGTAGTTAAAGCACTGGATTCACATGGCCCACTGTCATTTGAGTCCTGAACCCAGCAGCTTGCTTGCTTACTTTCCTTCTCTCTCTGGTAAGCACACGTGCCCTACAGCATATTAAGTAATAATCTAACTGTTGGGTCATAACTTTTCTGAAGACTCAATTACTGACAAGTTTGTCCTTCCTGGTTCAAGATGTTCACATCATTTCCAGTTTGACTAGCACACGAGGTGTCTCCTGGCCGTGCTCGCCTCCAGTTCTAACGTAGACGTGAGGCAGGTACTTCAGTGATGTCTGTTACTAGCACACTTAATTCTTGCTCCCTATTCCTTATTTGGCCTCTTCCTTATTAATACTGCCAAGTCTATATTTCAGAATTTCTCTGACTCCCACAGAGTATAACAATGTATTACAGTGACTTTGTATACCCTTAGCTGGGTTTCAATATTGCTTAATAGTCTTTAAATCTTTTCACTTTCCTCAGGCCCTTTCTTTCAGCAAGTCTCTCGTACTTTACAAATCAATTTACTCATTAGAAAAAAAAATATTTTGATGTCCTAGGCACTGTGCTGAATTATTGCAACTTCTCATTTAACTCCTACAGCAACCCTGTGGGACTGGAACTATTATTTTATTATCCCTTTACAAATGTGAAATTGAGGTCTGGTTGGAAAAAACCGTCAATTTGGTAACTGATGGACCTAGGATTTAAAGACAGATCTCTCAATCTAGAAGCCAAAGTTAAAAAGTTTAAACTATTTCTGTCTTTATTCGTAAACTTAAAAGGGATCTTCCAATCTGATACCTCAGTTCATACTACGCTCACAACCTTCACCTTTTAGCTAATTTTTTATTTTTCAGAGAGAGAAAGCACCTTCCAGTGTGGTGTGATTGTACCACAATCCCTTTTCCTCTATGTCTCCATCTCAACAGGATTTTATGCACACACACATTGCTATAGTGCTTTTAAGTCACCAGAGCTAGGATTCAAATTGCGGTTGGCCCTGTGGGATCCAGCTTCCTATGCACAGTGTTTAACCGCTATAAGGCTGGCACTCTGCTGGCTCTTCAACCCTCTCGTGTGTTTCCTGGCCTCCCCAGCTAGTCTGTATGATCCTTGAGAGCAATCACCATGCTACTACATAAGCACTGGTGCTTATGCTCAGTACATATTTGTTGACAAATTAAATGACTTTTAGACTTGTTTTGGGAGGCTATAATCTGGATGAACCCTAAAATCAATTTCTTACTATCCTTGGGTTGGGCAAAAGGGGGTCTCTTCAAGTTCCAAGATTTCATTTTAAGTTCTATATTTTGTATAAGAATCACTTAGCAAGAATGAAGAAGATGGACCAAGTTTGGTGGCACAGTCAGTAGCAGGCTGAACTACTGTACTAAAGTCACATGACTGACTGCGGGTTCGAATCCTGGGCTTAGCCCATGTGCCCTGGATCCTGATGAGCTAGAAGGCTCTGGTGGGAGATTGTGGTGTAATCTGACCCTGCTAAGAGTGCCTCCCTCTCTTTCTCTCTTGTGTACATACATATGCAACTTACTGTCAATAAAGATAAACTTTTTAAAAAATGAATTAACAATATGATCTAAGGGAACTTAAGGGCTGGACCCATAGCACAGTGATTAAGCCCTGTGTAGAGGGAACTGGATCCCATGTAGCCATCCACAGTTCAAATCTCAGCCCTTGTGGTGACTGACATACTTGATACATGTGCATGTGCCCAGGATCCTGATGGGATGGAGAGTTGGAGAAAGGAGAATGATGGCATGACCAGCCCTATTGAGAGGATGCTTTCTCTCTATTGTACCTGTGTTAACATGTATAAAAATAAATAAGCTTTAAAAATAAGATCTAGTGGCTGGCAGATGGCAAATAAGCTTTAAAAATGAGATGTAGTGGCTGGCAGGTGGCGTGGTGATTAAGGTTGCTGGACTCCCACATGGCCTACTGCGGTTCGAGTCCCGGATCTGGTGGCTTTCTCTCTCTCTTTCTCTTTCACTTTCCTGCTCTGTCCCTCCCTGGTCAAAATTAAATAATTTGCTTTTGGCTGGAGGGGGGAGGTTTCCACTATAGGGCACATGCGCTTAAGCCGCCGAGTCTGGGACTCAAAAAGCTGTGGTCAGTGGTTCTCAACTAGGGACACTTGAGAGGGGCAGAACAGGCATGACTGGGAGGCTTGTTACTAGTAGTTAGTGGGTAAGACAAGGACACTGCAATAAGTGAGGCAGTCCTGTGAGCCCACTGAGAAATAAGGCAGGTGACTAACATCCCTAAATACCTGATGCCAGTTCTTCTGCTTGTCTTTCCTTTTCCTCTTCTCTTTTTTCATCTTCAGCACTAAGAAGTGCAGATACAATATCATTAACTGTTCTGTAGTTCTCTCCAGTTGACAGGATTTTACTCTGAACTGTTTGTTTCACCAGACTTCTACTAAAGCCCATTTCCAAGGCAGATTTAACCACAGGTGTATTCATCATGACTGCATCTTCTGAAGAACTTTCTCCAGGTCCAAAGTGAATAACTATTTGAAAAGACATGTACTAATAGTAAATACATAAATATAAAACTGTAGAGAAAAAAAAAAGATTCTAGCACAAACTCATTCTTTACTGTCATCCTGGTAAGGGAGATAAGCTATATATATATCAATCACCCATAACTCCAGTAAAAGTTATAACTACATAATGGTCAAATGCAAATGACTAATGTGATGTACTTTTAAAAAACACTTTCTAGGTTGTAGTAGACCTTAATGAAATACTCTCTACAGATAAGGCTTAGGAGTCTGTCTTTTTAAATTACCCCAAAATGATGCTGATGTACAGTAATTTTGGGAAACCAATATGCTACACAAACTTAAACATAAAAAAAAATGACCTTCTCCATTCAGGAGAGTAGGGAAAAATCACAGATTTCATGCAAAAGGTAGCACTGGAGTTTGAACATGAAGGATGGCCAAGATCTGGATGTAGGGAGAGACCCAATCTGAAAAAACATGGTGACCTTTAGACACATGAAGAAAGGGTTCCTGTGCGCTTCATTTGCATAGCAATGAAAGCAATTAACACATGAATATGCTAGCTGTAAGCTGTTATCCATACTGCAGTGTCTAAGGAAGCCACATGTGTTATTCAGATTTTGCCCCAAAAGATCAGAAGAAACCACATTCACATCTTCAACTGATTAACATCTGAAAACAACTGGCTTTGCATTCCATTTCCTCTTCCCCCATTTTCTGCCGTATAAAATACTAAAGCTGAGGCTGGTTTGAGGTCTGGGCTTTCTCCATCTTTCTCTATCGCACCCACCCTCTATACTTGTAGTCTCTGTGTGTTTATTTTTATGTTTATTTCTAATCCACAGTCTCCCACTCAGAAAAACTGCTTTCTGGCAAGTGGATCCCAGCATCTAGACAGTTGAATAGCTAAAGATGAAAGAGTAACAGAACAAAGATGGGAAATATGTACAGGAAAATGAAAGACTAGTTTACCCCAAATTTGTCTAGAGGTATATAACAAATATGAGGTATTTTTGTTATATTTGTATATAGAGAGGTATATAACAAAGTAATATTTTAGTGACAGATGTTCTAAAGAAAAGGTAGTGTAAGGTGATTTAAAGGAATGAGGAAGCAGGATATTTTAGATAGAGTGTTCAGAAAAGCATTTTCTGGTCATGGAAAATGCTAGTCCATCACATTATAGCACTTCTATTAAAATTCCAAAAGGGCCTAATTCTTCAAGACATTTTACTGCCATCTGCTGGAAAATTGTTAGAGTTAACACAGACCACATTATTGACAATGTGTACTACACTCCCTTGATCTAAGCATCTGTGAAATCTGTGTTTGAAGAGAGAACACTGAAACAAAGACTTGAGTGATAAGATGTGAGCCATGGGTATATCTGAAAGAAGCCTTCCAAGTGAAGAAAACAGCACGTGTAAAATGTAAAAGCCTTCAAGGAGAAGCTTGGCATGTTCAAGAAACAAAATAAAGTGGCAGAAGGTTAGAGAGAAGGACAATGTCCAGATAATGTAAAGGTTTGCGAACAGTGTATTTTACTCTAAGTTTGCTAGAGTGTTCTAGAAGCTTTTAAGCAGTTTTGATAAAACTTAACCTGTCTTTACAAAAGATCATTGGCAGGGACCAGCAGGTGGTGTGGTGGTTAAGGTGCTGGACACTCCCACAAGGCTGACCACAGTTTGAGTCCCAGACCTGGCAGCTTGCTTTCTCCCTCTTTCTGTCTATCTCTGGTCAAATTAAAATGAATGAATGAATGAATAAATAAAATAAAATAAATAATTATATTTTTAAAAAAATCATTGGCACAGCTCCATGAAGATGAACTTTAATGGGGTGAAATGAATCAAGACTTACTAGGAAATTATGACAGAAGATGACAGCAGTTTGGTGGAAATGGTATTAGATTTGGGATATGTTAAAAGGAAGAATTTCGGATATATTAAATATAAAAACTGGGAAAAAGAATCAGAGATAATGCATAACTTAAGCTTTTTTCTGACTTTTTTTAATCACCAGAGGACATGTGTGCTTGCCAGAGAGGAGAGAAAGCACCCCACAATGAGACCTGGTCAAAATGTGATCTTTTTTCTCCATTTCGTCAGGATTTGGAGCATGCATGCACATGCACCTGATGTATCTATCAACCTAAAAGGGCTAGAATTTAAACCACGGTCGGATATGTGGGATCCAGCTCCTCATGCAGAAGGCTTAACCCACTACACTACAGGCCAATCCTTAAGCTAACTTTTTAACATTAGCAAATGAGTATGAGGGGATCAGAAAGTGTGTGAAAAATTGGAATTAAAGTATGCATTTATGGGGCCAACAGGTGGCATGGTGGTTAATGTGCTGGATTCCCACATGGCTGACTGTGATTTGAGTACCAGACCTGGCGGCTTGCTTTCTCATTCATTCATTCATTCATTCATTCATTCATTCATTCTCTCTCTCTCTGGTCAAATAGAATAATTAACTAATTAATTAATTATTTAAAAGTATGCATTTATTATGGTGCAAGAATTTTGAAATCCATGCAGTTTCTTCATAATATGTACTTCCATGAACTTTTAAAAGATCCCTTATATCATGAAGTGAGATGGGGAAGAAAAGAGAAAGAAAATTTTAAGGATAGAGGATGAGAAGCAAATTTTTGTTTTGATCATCTTAACTTTGAGACACCTATTATAAGGTGTGTCTATTATAAGGTGTCATATATTAGAAGTTTTAATCAAGTAGATTTAAATAGGTAGTTTGACAGTGTAGTCTGGGGCCCAAGAAACAGATAAATTTGGGATGGGCATTGAGTAATCCATGACTTAAAAGTTTAAAACCAGAGGAGCCAGGGAAGGAAATAATTCAGGATCAAACAAGAAATAGAAAACCATGAAGTGCTGGTTGAGGAAGTCAAGCAAAGAATGTGTTTTAAGGAGGATGAAGCACTCAACTATCAAATGCTGATAAACAAGTCAAGTAGCTGATTTGCTCATGTAGTTCTTGGTGACTGTGACAATAGTTTTTATTGTTGCATGTGCCCGGTATTAAAAAAAAAAAGTTTTTATTGTTTAAATTTGCCAGTGCATATGCTCACCAGAGACAGAGTAAAAGGGAAAGTAAGAAAGCACCCTACAAGGCTTATGGTCACAACATAATCTCTTCTTCATTTCTGCTTTCAGGCTTTGGGGCATGCATGCACATGTACCCAGTGTATTTTTCAAGTTGGTGGGTCCAGGACTGCATTTGGCTGTGTGGGATCCAGCCGGTTTAACCATCACTCCACCAGCTGGCCCAAGAAGAGTTTTTAACAGAATATGTTAAGGAAAGAGTAAGGTATGAAATAAAGAGAGTGAACATAGACAAATTTTTCTAGGCATTTTGTGGCTAAGGGAAAGCAGAGTAATGCAAAAAGAGATGGGTGAGGACCTAGATCCAGGAAGTATTCTTAAAACTGGCAGTCGTGGGACCAGCAGTTAGCGTAATGGCTATGTCGCTGGACGCCCACTTAGTCAACCGTGGTTCGAGTCCTGGATCCAGTGGCTTAAACTCACGCCGGGCGCGTATGCATGCGTGCCCAAGATCCCGGGAGGAGAATGGAGGACAAGGGATTGCGGCGTGGCCATCCCCCCCCCCGGGGGGGGCGTGATTTCTCCCTTTCTGTCTCTCTGTCTCTGTCTGTCTGGCAAGCGCACGCGCCCTATAGCAAAAACCTCTAAAAAAAAAAAAAAAAAAAAACCTGGCAATTGTATATAGTGTTTGTATGATGACATGTGTAAAGCAAGTAGAAAGTCAATGATTCAGGAAAAGAGAATAGATCACTGCTTAAGTAATATCCCTAAGTTGATAATAGGGAATGGAATCCAGAGGACAAGCAGAAAGGTTGGCCTTAGACATTTGACAAGGACAGTTTCTCTTCCTTTTATAAAAGAACAGAAGAGCACATGGATACATGATGGAGTGTGGTGATTTTACAGGTGAGAAGAGAAAATACGTTTCTTTTTTAAAAAATATTTTAAAGTTTGCTATAGGGTATGTGTGCTCATCAGAGAGAGAAAATGAGAAAGCAAGCCAGTAGTCCAGAACTTGAACCACAGTTGGCCACATGGGAGTCTAGCACCTTAACCACCATGCCACCTGCTGGCCCCAAGTACTTTTTTTTTTTAAGAGAGGTTTTTGTTTTTTGTTTTTGCTGTAGGGCGTGTACACTTGCCAGTGAGACAGATTGAAAGTGAGAAATAACCCCCAGGGGGATGGTCATGCCACCATCCTTTCTCCTCTTGGGATCTTGGTCACACAAGCATGCTCACCTGGCGTAAGTTTTAAGCCACCAGGTCCAGGACTCAAACTGCGGTCAACCACATGGGAGTCCAGGGACGTAGCCATTACACCAACTCTTGGTCCCTGTTTCTTTAGATTCTTTAATTTTCTCATTGAACCAAAAATATGAACTGACTAAGGTGGAAAAGATAGTGTTAGTGAAACTAGTAATGAAAGAAAATGTGAAATATTAATAGTTATTTTAAAGAAGGGCAAAGTGGGGCCAGCAAGTGGTGTGGTGGTTAAGGGCACTGGACTCCCACATGTCGGACCACAGTTCAAGCCCCAGACCTAGTGGCTTGTTTTCTCTCTTTCTCTCTTGAGCACTTTCTCCCTCTCTCTCTCACTCTATCCCTCTCTGGTCAAATGAAAATAAATAGTAAATGGATAAATAAAGTTCAATAAAATAATTCTTTAAAAAAAGGGCAAAGTGATTTTATTAGGGAATTTCCATAGGATTGCAGGGCAGCCCACTTGACAGCTTTGTTAAAATTTTAATTAAGAGCATTCAGCACTGTTACCTTTATTTTCCAGTTCCCTTACACAGAACATAGTTATCATGTATCTGCATACTCCTTCCTCTTCCAGGTTAAATACTACTAAATTCTTTTTTTTTTTTTTTAAAGACAACATTCTCTTATAGAGGAGGACCCTTCTTTTTTATTTTTAAAATTTTATTTATTTTTATTCATTTATTTTAATTTGACCAGAGAGGGATGGAGTGAGAGAGAGAAAGAGAAAGGGAAAGTGAGAAAGCAAGCTGCCAGGTCCAGGACTTGAACCGCAGTCAGCCATGTGGGAATCCAGCACCTTTAACCACCACTCCACTTGCCAGCCCCAATACTACTATATTCTTCACCCAATCCTTCTAAGTCATGGTTCCTAGTATTAGAAATCTTGATCACCCTTCTCTGGTCAGATATGTCAATATCCCTCTTAAAATATCGTGGCCAAAACTGAACATCCTTTTTCTAGATGTGATTAGTACACAAAGCAGTGGACTATTATCTTAACCATTTTGGACCCTACAACACATGTACATTAAAATTAGATTCTAATTAAAAAATAAACTATTTTCTGTTCTTGCACTGAAACACTATACTCCTGACTCAAATACCTAACATCTAGCTCAACGGTTAAATCACATGTGAACTGAGGCTTTTCCAGATCACTTTAGCTCACAGCAATTTCACCCTCTTTGGAGGCCTTATTATATTTGCACCTCTCGTCTGGCATTCCTTCAAGCTATTTGTTGTTTTTCTTTTGCATGTGTCTTGTCTCCCTAATTTGAATGTAAACACTTTAAGAACGAAGGCTAATATATTTTACAGTATACTCTAGCATGTCATCAGTAGATGTATTAATTAATTTTCCAGTGTTTTCCCCCATGGCTTAAGAAAAAAACTTTTTTTTTAAACATACTTTTGTTCCTAATATTCTTATATAAATTCCCATCTACGTCTGAAATATTTTCATACATACTTGGTGGATCAGCATTTTCATCTCCCGAAGTATCTGAAGTTGACAACAGCTATGAAACAGAAGAAAAGTTAATAAGTAAAACAGGAAATCCTCAAACTAGAACACATCTAGGTTTACCTTAAGTAAATGTATAACTCTTAAAAACTGGAGAATTTACATACTGTATTTTGTTTTGTTTTACCTTGTCATATAGATTTCCTTAAATTTCATCTACTTCAAGATTTAAATTTAAGTATTGCTTTCATTTTGGAAAATAGGAAAATGTATCTGTGATTTTTTCCATTTAGAAAAGTCAGATTTCAGCTAGGTAACTCTCAAAGGGTCTCAACTCCTAACAAGTTATCTTTTGTTTATTTTTCTGGAAAATTGGTCAGAGACACCAAAGATCTTTCTCTAACATCACAAACATGTAGTAGCAAGATGAATGATTTTTTCAGAAAACTGAAAAAATGTTTTTGGGGTCAGTCCTGTAGCACAGTAATTAAAGGAGCAGGATCCTACATGGCTGATCGCAGTTTAACTCTCAGCCTCAGCAGCTTGAAAAACATGCCAGGACCATGTGCATGCATGCCCCAAATCCCAAAAGGATGGAGAAATGGAGAGGAAATTGTAGCATGGTATGTCGCAGTCTTCCTCCCCCAGCTGTCCCACACATATTCTCTCTTTGGCAAATGCATGCACCTTCTAGTAACTTTTTTTTTAGTTTCTTTTTTCTGAGGTGAGGGGGAGATAGGGCATGTGCACTCGCTGGAGACAGAGAGTCTCCAGGACAGAGAGACAGAAAACGAGAAATCAACCCCCAGGAAGGATGTGTATGCTGCAGTCCCTTTCCCTCCATTTTCCTCTTGGGGTTTTGGGCACACACATGCAACCAGCACGAGTTTCAAGCCACCGGGTCCAGGACTTGAACTGTGGTTGACCGTGTGGGAATCCAGCACCTCAACCACCATACCATCCACTGGTCCCCCCTCTGGCAACTTTTTAAATAAGCCCTGAACAACCAAGTTGTTTATAATAGTAAAAATCAGAGGTGTCATTAAAATGAATACAAATTATATAACTATAATAAAACAGACATAAGTATCACTTTCAATATTTTCATAATTATAAAAAATTCAGTATTTTTAATTTAAAAAACGTATTTACCTGTTCAAGAAGATGTGGATATCTACCTTGAATCTCATCAACAAACTCCTGCCCTTTCATGCATATCAAGAACTCACACCTAAAATATAAGAGGAAGATTTTTTTTTAATTGTTTTACTTCCAAAAATAACCTTGATCATTCCAGAAAAGTGGCTTTCGTGCCAGCTCCATGGCACATAGGTAAGACACTGTTCAAGAGAAGCCAAATCCCTATATCAACGATAGTTTGAGTTCTAGACCCAGTTGGCCTAAAACACCCCAGGCATACGCTAGGAGCCAACAGGCTGGAAGAAAGAGTACAATGGTGGTTGCCAGGGGCTGGGAGTAGAGAAAAGTACAATAAACCTGGCTACCTCATATTTCCTTCTTGTCAAGAGAACAAAGATTTTTATTTTTGTTAGTATTATTCACTTTTATAGTTCCAATATCTAAAATAGTACCCAATAGGCACCCAAATGATAACTGAATAAATGAATTGAGTTAAAATATATTGACAGTGATGATCCATTTTAGTTTTTCATTTACTGAGATTAAAGATTATCCACAATTGAAATTTGTTCTTTTCAGAGAACTATTTATAGAAAGTACCCTTAAGTGTTCTCTCTTAATCATGTAAAACAAGATACAAATGATAAAATAAAGGTTTTATTGCTTTATTAACTACAAAGTGTAGCAATTCAAACACTGGATTTCAGAGACTGCTTTGGTTTTTTTTTTTTTTTTGGAGAGATTTTTGCTATAGGGTACATGCGCTCGCCAGACAGACAGAGACAGACATTAGAGACAGAAAGCGAGAAATCACCCCCCCGGGGGGATGGTCACGCCGCAATCCCTTCTCCTCCATTCACCTCTCGGGATCTTGGGCACGCACGCACACGTGCCCGGCGTGAGTTTGAAGCCACCGGGTCCAGGACGCGAACCGCGGTCGACTACATGGGAGTCCAGCGACATAGCCATTACGCTAACTGCTGGTTCCCTGCTTTGGTTTTTTTGATATATCATCATCTGTCAATTTCAAATTAAATTTTTATATGGAAAAAAACGTCATGACTTTTCCATTGACCCAGTATATACACAATCCCATAGAACAAGCACAATTAAAATTCTGACAAAACACTGTTTTACATAAAAATTTAAAATAAAACACATATCACTTGTCAGAATAAAAAAGTCAAAATGTATATTTATATATTATGAATACTATTTAAGTTTTTTTAAAGGTTTTTTTTTTTTTTCCATACAGTGTGTGTACTCATCAGAGAGGAGAGAGGGTGAAAGGGAAAGTGAGAAATCACCCCCAAGGGTGTATGGCCAGGCCACAATCCCTTCTCCATTTCTCCTCCTGGGATCTTACGCAGGCACACAGGTACCAGTCATGATTTTCAAGCTGTCAGGTCCAGAACTAGAACTGCAGTTGGCCATGTGCAGTCCAGGATCTTCACCACCTCACTACCTGCTGGCTCTTGGATTTTTTTTTTAAAGAGATATTTGTTAAAGGGTATGTGCACTCACCAGAGAGACAGAGACACACAGAGAGACAAAGTGAGAAATCACCCCCAAGGGAGGATGGCCATGTTACAATCCCTTCTCCATTCTCTTCTTGGGACCTTGGGCATGCATATGCCTGCCACGAGTTTCAAGCCAGGTCTGGGACTCAAACTGCAGTCGGCTGTGTGGGAGTCCAGTGACATAACCACTATGCTACCTGCTGGTCCCTAATTGTATAATTTTCCAACAAAGTACTGATCTATAAAATATTTGTAAGTTCAAGTTTTTTTTGATTATTTATCATACAAAAATGACAAAAGGATTTTGAATTTCCTGAAGGGATTCAACAGATTCTTCACTGCTATGAAGGGCATTCGTAGATCAAAACATCTTGTATATGTGGTACCTACAAGAGTCAAATTCAGGGGAACCAGCAGTTAGTGTAATGGCTATGTCGCTGGACTCCCATGTAGTCGACCGCAGTTCGCATCCTAGACCCGGTGGCTTAAAACTCACGCCAGGCACGTGTGCATGCATGCCCAAGATCCTGAGAGGAGAATGGAGAAGGGATTGTGGCGTGACCATCCCCCCCC